GTACTTTATACGAGGCTGTTTTTGTACTTTTTAGTAAGGCTGATAACCGTGACCGGTTAACCGGTTCCGTAGACCAAAAAACCGTTAAAGAACGTAACCGGTGTAACCAGTTTAACCGTAACCGGTTTAACCGGAACCGAGTATAACCGTATTTATGTGTACCAGTAAACGGGAGTTTTCGAGTACAGGAAACATAGTTTCGGCAAAAAGTAAACTGCTTGCTGCCGGAAAAAGTTGATAAGTTGATTTTTTTGTTTTACCTACTTACCCACCCAGTGGGAAGTGAGTTACTGTGTCCTTTTTTAAATTTTAAATAAAGTTTAGCAAAAGTAAAATTGGTAGTATTTCTATTATTCTAATTTTTATTTAGTGAGTGCCTATTTTAGCCAAGCATGCACTGCCTGGTTGTCACGGGTAAGGAAAGGTGAAATAGCATTTCTATTGAAAACAAAGGATATGGTGGATGTGTTTTGCCACGATTAAGCCGGTGATGGTTATAGTTAAACCAATAACGGATAAACCAGTGTTGGGTTTAAATGGTCACGGTTACGGTTAAACCGCCGAATCTGATCTAACCGGTCCGTTTCGACTGGCTCGGTTTGATCAGACCGGTTAACTTAATAATCGGACCAACTTACCGGATATACGGACCGGTTATAATAATAGTATAAATCCGGTTAAAACCGAAACCGGTCAAAATCAGACGAACCGGTTAACCGTTTATCACGTCAGGAATTGACAGCCTTACTTTTTAGCATATTTCTGCTATTTATAAATGGTGAATAAAAATCTTGATGTCATTATTTATAATGTTTTTGTTATATACATGTTATTTCCAAAATAAACTATATTGAAGATATTTGATGAAAAATAGAAAAATTATTTTTTTTCCATCGGGATCTAATTTTATTAGAAAGTCATGTTTTACGACACATTATATACAATGCGGGTCTAAAGCGTCTCCACCCATTTATTTTTTAAACCGTAATTAATAATCGAGATACGCATCGATAAAAAAAATTTTGATTTTAAACGAGAATAGTACAGTGCCAAAAGTAAAAAATTTGTAGTACGCCAGTTAATATCATTGAAAATATGAAGTATTTTATTATTGATGTCATATGATGGCATAGAAAGTGTGCAATAACAGTTCTAAAATTTCTCAATTATAGAGTCATCCTCGAAGTTTTAAGGAACAAGTCTTGCGAAACCGATTATTCAAGCACTTTAAACCCGTAGAGTTGTAATGTCAATTATTTATAAAATTATGCATGACCTAATTGATTGTCCATTGCTTCTTGAACAAATTATGTTTTTAGTTGCAAGATTAAATGCGCCTGAGTCTAAAACATTTTTGTTGTCTACTCCTAGAACCAACATTTTATTGAAGTCGCCAATTTTTGTTATGTGTAATAATGTCAATATTTACTGTATTAATTGTGATCTGTTTTTTGAAAAGCTTTCACAAATCTCAACAAAAGTCATATCAACATTATCAATTACACAGGTCTACAAAATTAAACTTTTTGACAGATATTTTTATTTCGAAAACTGATTTTATATAATTTTGGTAGGCTGATTTCAAAAATTCTATGCATTTATTTGTATTACGTAAGGTTTTTTTGCAAATATTAAAGAAAAAAAAAATTCTAAAAAAACTAACCAATTATTAGGAAATTCAGCAAATAATATGTGAAAGAAAACTCTTTTTACTTCATCCAAGCTTTCGGAAATGTATTATTTCATTTCAATCATCAGGGTAGACTACAAATAATGTTGGAAAATAGTTACAATGGACCAAAATAACTAAAGGTACTACTTACAATAAGTTGAGATTGTACACTTGATGTTCTAACAAATTTGTGTATATTTTTCATTAAATAGTCAAACAAATTTATGATTTATAAATTAAAATTATTAAAATTAAAGTTATTTCCTTTTCAATTCAGTTTCAATGTACTCAGTTTTTCAATGTGTAGTTTATTTGTCATTAATTTGACATTGTCAAAAATGGCATTTAACTTATAAATATTGCATGACATTTGAGTGAAAGAAAAAATAAAAAAGATTTCTTTTTAAAATTAAAAAAAAAAAAATTATAAATTCATTATAAAATAACTTATTACAAGGAGTCAAGAGATGATACAAAATGTTAATTTCGTAACGGTTTGTCTTTTGATAAAAGATTTTGATAAATTTCACTAAGATGTTGTATGTCTGTTTTTTTGTTCATGTTTTTAGGGTTTTGAGCTATAAATGTCATTTCTAGAAACTTTCTTTTTGCAAGGTTAGATTCATTAATTAAAACTGTCGCTGATTCCCAAGACATGTTATGTCCTTCATTTAAGATATGTGTAGCAAGTGCACATTTTTCCAGGTGTAGTCTGCAGTTACTCTTGTGTGATGTAATTCGATCTTTTAATCGTCTGCCCGTTTCTCCGAAATATTGTAAATCACAATTTGTACAAGAGATTCTGTAAATTGCATCCGATAGGAAAAGCTGAGGGGTTTTGTCTTTTTGTTTTTTGTATAAAGAACCTAAACTTAAAACATTTTTATTTGCAATTTTGATGTTATCTTTAGTATTCAAAATGTTCATCAGTTTAGGAGTAAGACCTTTTATGTATGGTAACAAAATATATCTTACACAATTATTGGCAACAGGCCGAGTATTAGTTGATGTTCTGGTAATTGGTTCATTTTGTAATATAGTTGTTATATTATTAGCAATTACTAAATTATTATTGATGTTATCATTATTACCTTGGATTGCAACATCAGTGACAATACTACTAGAATTAAATAGGATTTTATCAATTAATTGTTTAGGATATCTATTTTGTAAGAAAAGTGTTTTCAGAATGTTTAGGTTTTTTTGGTGAAAATTGGTATCAGAGATCTGTAATACTCTACTTTTCATTTGTTTCACTAAGTTATTTTTCATTTGAAATGGGTGATGTGATTTGTAGTTAATATATCTACCTGAATTACATGGTTTTTCTATACCAATCAACTTTTAGTCTATTACTAGAAGGATCTCTAATGATTCTCGTGTCAAGGAATGGAACTGAACCAGAAATATCCTCTTTTTCGATGGTAAACTGTATGTATGGATCGAAGCTGTTAAAAGTAAACAAGATCTCATCAATACCTTCTGCGGGAAAGCTAACAAATATGTCATCGACATATTTTTTTAAAAAATGTACGTTGAAGGATAAGACAGGTATGACTGTATCTAGAATATTGTCCATCACGTATGTTGCAATAATCGGGGATATACTCGCCCCCATTGGAGTACCAAAAGTTTGTTTGTAAAATATGTTATCAAAAGAGAAATAAGTGCTGTTAAATAAAAAAGTTAATATTTCAATGAAAGTATCATAGTCAATATTACAGAATGATTCAATTTTTTGACAATTAACTGTAATTGCTCTTATGGCTGCATCAAGATAAACATTACTAAATAAACTAAACTTTCTATGATATACCCTGGTGGTAATTGTATATTATTGAATAATTTAGCTACTTCAAAAGAGTCTTTTATGTAGTAATCATTGTTATAATCATAAGATTTAGTTAAAATGTCAGTCATATAAGTAGCCAAAAATTCTGTAGGAGCTCCAATACAAGAAACAATAGGTCTTACTGATATAGTAGGTTTGTGAATTTTCGGTAAGGCATAAAATTTAAGAGAGACACCATTATAGCGAGTAAGTGATTTTTTCATTCTTTCATCAATAAAGCGTTTTTCTTTTAGACGTTTAATTAATGTATTATTATTTCTTTCAATAGTTTGAGTGGGATCTTTATTAATTTGTTGATATGATCCACTTTCTATGATGATTTTATTTGATAGTTCTAAATACTGTTGTTTTTTCATAACTACTGTTACATTGCCTTTGTCTGCAGTAATAATGATAACATCAATAATAATTTAGTAGTTGCTAATAATATAACAACTATATTACAAAATGAACCAATTACCAGAACATCAACTAATACTCGGCCTGTTGCCAATAATTGTGTAAGATATATTTCGTTACCATACATAAAAGGTCTTACTCCTAAACTGATGAACATTTTGAATACTAAATATAACATCAAAATTGCAAATAAAAATGTTTTAACTTTAGGCTCTTTATACAAAAAACAAAAAGACAAAACCCCTCATCTTTTCTTATCGGATGCAGTTTACAGAATCTCTTGTACAAATTGTGATTTAGAATATTTCGGAGAAACGGGCAGACGATTAAAAGATCGAATTACATCACACAAGAGTAACTGCAGACTACACCCGGAAAGATGTGCACTTGCTACACATGTCTCAATTGAAGGACAACATGTCTTGGGAATCAGCGACAGTTTTAATTAATGAATCTAACCTTGCAAAAATAAAGTTTCTAGAAATGACATTTATAGCTCAAAACCCTAAAAACATGAACAAAAAAACAGATATACAACATCTTAGTGAATAACATTTTGTATCATCATTTTTAATTTTAAAAAGAAATCTTTTTTATTTTTTCTTTCATTCAAATGCCATTTTTGACAATTTCAAATTAATGACAAATAAACTACACATTGAAGAACGGAGTACATTGAAACTGAATTGAAAAGGAAATAACTTTAATTTTAATAATTTTAATTTATTATTCATGAATTTGTTTGACTATTTAATGAAAAATATACACAAATTTGTTAGAACACCAAGTGTACAATCTCAACTTATTGTAAGTAGTATCTTTAGTTATTTTGGTCCATTGTAACTATTTTCCAACATTATTTGTAGTCTACCCTGATGATGGAAATGAATTAATATATTTCCGAAAGCTTGGCTGAAGTAAAAAGAGTTTTCTTTTACATAATATTTGCTGAATTCCCCAATAATTGGTTAGTTTTCTACTTAGTCAGCAACTACTACCTTTCTAGTTTTTCCTAAATATACATATTTTTTATTGAGTAAAAAAGTGAAAACCTAGTTAACAAAGTGAATAAAAACTTTACTCAGACTTTTTTGAGTGAAATCTTCGTCTTTTTGTTAGAAAGCGGCGTTGTCCAGACATTCGACTGTAAATTTTTAAGGGCACATCCCGTTTCAACATCCAGCAGTAGTCCGCCATCATCGTTATGCTCCATCTGCCTTGGTATCGCCGTTCCATTTCCTTAATGTTTTGGTGAAACCTCTCTCCCTGTTCTTCGCTATCTGTTCCAAGATTTTCAGAAAAATAGTTCAAATATGAAAACAGGAAATGCATTTTCAAACTCATGTTACAACCTAGACGATGAAAGTGTTGCAACATATTTTGAACAATATTTTCGTAGTTTTCGTCCTTAGAGTTCACAAGAAACTTATCAATTATTTCTTTAAATGAAACCCAGGCATTCTTCTCAACATTGGCCATTGTGTCTTATCTGCGGCCCAACAAAAATACCCTCTTTAATCTTGGCATCGGATAAGGCTGGAAATTTCTCACACAAATATTTGAAACACTGTCCATTTTTGTCTAAGGCTTTAACAAACTGCTTCATCAAGCCAAGTTTGATATGAAGAGGAGGCAATAAAACTTTTTTGGGGTCAACTAAGCTATCTCTTAATACATTTTTGCTACCAGGTGTAAGGCTTGTTCTAGAGGGTCATTTTATTTGAGTCCAATGTCTATCTCTTGCCCGACTATCCCACTCACAAATAAAGCATGGAAATTTTGTATAATCCCCCCCTGTTGTCCTAGTAACATGCACAGCACACCACACCACAAAGCATCCACTGATGTTCTTGGTAGTTTATTTGATTTAAAAGAAGTTCTAAATTTTTATACGTTTCCTTTAAATGCACCGAATGTACAACGGGACCCGAGGCCAGTTCGTTACCGTTGTGCAATAAAACGCCTTTTAAACTACGCTTACTTGAGTCAATAAACATGCGTTAACTGCCGCATGCGCTAAGTAACGCATGGTCGTTAACGCATACGACAGCAATTTAGTATTCCTGAACACCATGCGATAATCGCGAATCAAGTCGAACGTGTTAACGAAGAGTCTTTGATTATTGCATAGTCTTAACCAATGAGGATTGAGAATACCAAAGATGGTATCACTGAATATGAGATAATTGCATTGACATATGTCAAAGTTGCCAAAAATGCAAAAATTATAAAATTAAATGAATTGCAGATGTCTAATAATTTTTGATTTTTGGATGTTTTAACTGTGATTATTTGTATTTTGGACTTGAGAATTGGAGTGGTTTAGATTTAGAATATTAAAAATGGAACAGCGTGGTTCACGAATAACGGAAAAACAGCGAGAAACTTTAGTAGAATTTATAACATTGTTTAGTGCCTGTAAAACTCCTATGATAAAGCAGGATTAATTGACAATTATAACAGAGACAACCACATACAAAAGAAAATCAAAGTATGTGGAGACAACCCTCTGATTATAACCTTACTTTCACCTTAACGAATGCGACAAAGTGGTTGTCGTACGGTTATGAGCGCTCTTTGAAAATCACCATTTTTTAGCGCATGCGTTAATAAATTTGACGAATGCCGCCGTTCAGGAATACACTTTCATCAAGTCGCATACGTTATCGCATGCGATAAGTTAACGAAGGCGTCAGGAATTGGGCCCCAGGCGCCATTCTTCTTTAAGATACAGCACATTTCCTAATTTTGAAACTAAATCAGGAATATTGTTGCAATACACTAGCGGTCTTTCTTGAGTAAAATATTGACATAACTCTTTTTCGCAATCCCGATAAAAGCTTGATGTGACGCCAGGTGCTAGTAAATGCTTCTCACGAAGTCTAGAGGCTAAGAGTTCGGATGCATCCTTTGGAAGGTGAAAATCTCTAAATAAATCATTTAGTTTGCTCTGGTTAAACATTCGGGCTCTCTTAAATCTGGTGTCAAATCTGAGTCATATGGATCGGAATTAGATTCCTCTGATACTGACGATATGACGTTTTCTATTTCTTTTGGGGCGATAGGTATCGGAACGTCTGGTCCATGAGGAACTGGTCGAATAGCAGAGTTAAGATTGGGATACACATTGTGTTTCTTATTTTTTCTGTTGAATCCTTGAACATTACACGAACAAAAATAACAATCATGACTGTGATTCCTAAGCTTTCGCCATACCATAGGAACACCAAAGCTTAAACTTTTCTTACTACTTTTGGCCAGTTTCTTAATGCTTCAACGCAAACAGAACAAACAGTATGAGAAGCCCAGGACTTGTCTTGGTTGTCAATTTTTACACCAAAATAAGCGTAGTATACATTTTTTACAAAAGAAGTTATAGTTTGCCTCTGCTTTACTACGACATAACTACCACAGATATAACAAAAGTTATTTGGATTGTTCACGCAATGTCTTTTTTCCATATTTATACGTTCTAGAACACTAATACGCAACAACGCAACGAAGACAACAGCCGCGGACACAGTCGTACGACGACTAATATAACCAAAAACCAAACTGTACATAAGCAAATTCAACGCTGTATTGACGCTTCTGCGACAACTCTGTTGCTTTGCTGAGAAATCTAATATTATCTAGTGTTCCCAAATAACATTTAATTTCATAAAAATCAATTCATTTAAAAAAATTCATGTCATAGATATGTATATTTATAAAATAAAATTTTTAAGATATATACCACTATAAAAAAAATGACGTGATAGAGCAAAACTATGGCGTTTTTTGAAATAAGGGCCCCCAAAAATATACAAATTAGCAAAGAGTTTTCAAACATCAAAATCACTGTAGACCTGTGTTATTAATAGTTAAAATGTTTATTATTTTTTGTATCTTTTTGTGTATTATTATTTTTAAAATATTTATATTTATGTTTTATGGTTAAGATTATTATTTATCTATTAGATTTATTATTTATTCTTTGTATGAAATGATATTGTGTTATGTATTTATTTGTCTTATAATTGGATTTATTCTGTTGGCCAATAAAGTTTATTATACAGGGTGTTATTGAAATACACGTACATGTTAAAATGGGGAATAGTATGTAATGACCAAAAACGATTGGCACCAATTTTAACTTCAAATTCTAAAATTTAAATATTGGGGAAGAGTCCCCTTTTCCGACCTACTAGTTTCCATATTTAAAGAAGTAAAATAAATCGAAATTGAACTTACCCATAGAAATTGCACTGTTGCCGTAGCAAAACCAATTAATTCAAAATAAAGTTTATTACAGTAATTGTTCAAAATGCCGTCCATTATTATTTACACACACTTGCAAGAACTTTGAACATTAGAAATTAGTCTTGGATTTTGTCGTAGTTCCTCGGCTACCGCATTAACTTTATTGGTTAATTGTTCAACACTATTAATAGGTTCATTATGAACCAGTTGTTTCATGTGAACCCACAAAAAGAAATCGCATGGATTTAAGTCCGGAGATCTCGGAGGCCACTTAGTAGGTCCATTTCTGCCTATCCAATTTTGAGAAAATCTAATCTTCAAAAACTGCCGTACGTTTAAATCAAAGTGAGGAGGAGCGCCATCTAGTAGGTACCACATCCGTTGCCTTAATTGTAACGGTATCTCTTCTAGGAGTACTGGCAAAATATCTTCTAAAAAGTGGAGATATCCTGGCCCATTTAATCTGTTCGGGAGAACATAAGGCCCGATTAAAAACTGATCTATTATGCCAGCCCAAACATTTATTGAACATTTTCTTTGATGCCCAGTTTCCCTAATGGCGTGAGGATTTTCATCACTCCAAATATGCGTATTGTGCATATTGAACACGCCATCACGAGTGAATGAAGCCTCGTCAGTATACAATAATATTTTTAGAAAATCAGGAATATCAACACATTTTTGAATCATCCATTCTCAAAACTCCACTCTCTTTTCTTCATCACCTGGATATAAGGCCTGGACTTTTTGGATGTGATAAGGATGTAAACCTTGTTCTTTAAGTGTCCGCCACACAACAAATGAGGACACTCCAATTTCAAGACCTCTTCTACAACTTAATTGAGGCCGGTTTTCAACAGCTTCCAATATTTCTTCTTCGGCCGCCAATGTTCTTTGTGTTCTTGTTCTCCCTCGATCTGCATTGACACTTTCAAATTTTCCATGGTCTCTTAGATGCTGAACAGTTGAAATAAACGTACGACAGTCCGGAATTCTCCGATTTGGAAACCGTTCGCGATACAGGATTTGTGCTTGCCGAGAATTTTCTCCAGCTGCCCCATAAACCAGCACTATATCCGTTAGTTCAATATTCGTAAATAGTGGCATCGTAAAAAAATATTTAAAAGTAATCGTAACAACACTTTTTACCAACTTGGAAATGACGCGCTCGTGTTAGCCAGATTCGTAAATCAACTAAAATTTTAATAATCTATAGTTTCAAAAATGTATAGTTTCTAGTTTTTTGATAACGAGGGTAGTAAAAACCAGTCTTCGGAAATAGAAATTAATTCGAAAATCTTGGCAACATAGTTATTTCTTACAAGACTAGTTTTCTTATCATCTGACAAAAACTTGCATATTAATTACTGTTGATGTTTAAAATAGGTAAATAAACCTAATTTATATAGGTCATCCTCAACATATCAGTGAAGTACGTTTGTTTTAGAATTAATTTTCAAAAATTAATAACTCCCTTAATATGGGGTATTTTTAAAAAATAATATTTTTCTACATTCAGTGGGGATCTGCGCAATACCCAGTTTTAATATGTACGTGTATTTCAATAACACCCTGTATATTACAGATACTATTATATTACATTCCAGAAAAATATACTATACTTTGCTTAATCCGGTAAAGTAATACATCTCCTGTAACATAATTAACTATTTTCTCACTTTCCGAATCTCTTTTATTAGAATATATTTCCTTCTCGAGGAGTTTTATTTGTAATACTGTTCCACAAGATTCATTCGTCTTTCCAAATCCAGTAATCAGATTAATTGTTTCCTGTGTCCCGTTAAATTTTCCTTAGATTCCTTTATCGCCTTTTTCACAAATCACTATCAGAATCTCAAGGGTACTATTTTATTGTCGTCTTTACAGAAGACATCGTCTAAGAGTAATTGATAGGAGATAAAGAATTAGGTAAGTGTATCGACCTGCTGCTTCTATTCCTGCTTTAACCAGGTTAAATATTCATAAGAAAATAAAAGTACGTGAATGAAAAAGACAATTATAGTTTTATTTTTTATTATGAGAAATTATTTTTTAAAAAAATTAAGAAGTACTTTTAATCCGTCTTTATTGAACAAAGTCACATCTATTGTTTATGTCTAGGTAATTAAAAGTCCCAAAATTGCTCCAAATATACAGGGTGGGGACTTTAACTGGCGCAAATTAGCTACAGCTTCAGGTTAAAAAATGCGGATAAAACGCAAAAACACGTCGATTGA